AATTTAATGCGATTTTTGAGGCTGTATTTGACTGGCTATTTGTGGAATGTTTGCTTTCATGCCTGTCGTAGAAATTCGTAAAATGGCACTCAAATGCTCATTTGTGAGACGAGAACAATATTTATTCTTTCTGTAATTGAGGATTGAAAATGTTTGTTCGCATAAGTAGGTGCTGCCAAAAATTGTAATTAATTGCTGAGCAAACCTTTTCAATTCGTCAAAATTAGATGGCAAACTGCCATAAAATTTAATAAGATCATTGATTTCATAGAAGGAGTTTTTGAAAGTGTCATTAGATTGAAGATCAATCACATTCATTTGTAAATTACTCGGTACGTCGTCAATATCACATGAAAAAGGGTTTGCAAAAATCTTCAGTTTGCCAGAAACCTTCTCGAAGTCACAAAATCTGTCGTTGAACTGATTTTGTAGCTGCATTAACATGCATTTCATTTTATCATTTTTCCAATGAAAATTCTTTCCAACTTCTTCGACAGCTTTTTTACAATTCGGAAAATGGTCCAGTTTTTTCTCGTCGATATGTTTTATAAAGAGCTTGTTTTTCATTTGGAATGCCTTTACATCTGTGTGCATATGAGAGACTAATTTGTTTTTTCCTTGAAGCTTCATGTTCAGTATATTTAACTCATGAGTTAAATCTGTCAAAAAACCAAGGTCTATTAACCATTGAGGATCTGTAAGTTCTGGAACAGATTTACTTTTTTCGATCAAAAAAGTGTTGATTTCTTTTCGTAGATCAAAAAATCTTTTCAGTACTGCACCTCTACTTAACCATCTCACTTCAGAATAATACAGGACATCTCGGTGATCAGCTTCCACATCCGACAGAAACTGTTGAAATTGGCGATGTGTCAGCCCATTTTTTCTGATGGAATTTACTGTCGATATTACGATGTCCATTACTTCTTTCCATGCAAGAACTTTGCAGCATAACGCTTCTTGGTGGACAATACAATGGAAAAATAATGGCATATCGCAACCTATCTCTGCCAGTTTTGTTTTAATCCTACCCACCAGGCCCTTGTTTTGTCCACTCATGTTTCTGCCTCCATCAGTTGTAACGCTTACCAATTTTGCCCATGGTAATTGCATTGACACTAACGCTTGTTCTAAGTGGCGAAATAAATCTTCCCCTGTAGTCGTTCCTTTCAAACTGCATAACTGTAAAAGCTCCTCAAAAACATTAATGTTCTCATCAATACCGCGCACAAATATTAGTAGCTGCACAGTATCCGAAACGTCATCACTTTCATCGGTGGCTAAAGAGAACCATTCAAACATTTGTGCCTTTTCCTGAAGTTGCTCGCATAAATTATTGCCCAAATCTTCAGTACGCCGGGTGCAGGTTCTGGCAGATAGACAAATATCATCAAATATTTTTTTTTTGCTCTGGACACACCTCCTCAGCCATAACTAAAGCACATTGTTTTACTAGTTCGCTGTCAGTAAACGGTCGGCCAGACTTCGCAAGTATTTCTGCTACCCTCAAACTCGCACGTACACCCGACTCGTTACTTTGAATTTGAACCTTAAAAACATTTTGTTGGTTCTTTACTGACGATTTCAATGCGTTAATTTTATTTTTCCGTAAATCACCCACAAGAAATGCAAATTTAGTTTTATGCTCGCTATCGTAATGGCGTTTGAGATTATATTCTTTTTTAACAGCAATAGTTTTTTGGCATATTAAACATAGGGGTTTTCCCTTACAATCAATAAAAAAGTATAAATCTGTCCATGCATCGTTAAATACTCTATTTTCTTCTAATAACTTCCTTTTTTTTGAAGCCATCACTGAAAGTTATTACGCACACAACCGGGAGTAAATGCTGCAACAATAGAAGTACTTATTATTGTATTGAATACGTATACACGCTATTTAGTTTTGTGAACTCAAGTGTGTCAAATAAAAAAAGAACTCTCACACTTACCGAAATTCAAAACAAAACAGGTAGTTGTTGGTTTCGTACGGCGCCGTGGATCCAATTATATATGTAACTATAACTCGTTTTACTCGATCAGCCAGCACAGTTGGTACACGGGCGGCAATCGTCATCGCACTGGACGTTTCTTTCGATTGCCACCAAAACGGCGAGGCGAGGGCGGGGACGAGTCATCACGTTCGCCGCTTGCTTTCGCGGATGTTGCAGATTTCAGTTTTGGCGCGCAATTAAAATAATTCCGAATGAAAAGACATTTATTTACAAAACAATCGCGGGCCGCAAGGTGGAGGCTCACGGGCCGCATGCGGCCCGCGGGCCGCGGCTTGCCGACCGCTGCTGTATACTGAAAATAACACATTTTTGAATATTAGGTATAAAGTTTAAAGACAAAAAAAGAATTTATCAACCAACTCAGACACTTTATATGCGATTTGTTTAAATTTTAATTATAATACAGAAAAGTACCGGGTGACTATAAATAATTGTGTTTTTATCTCAAGTTGGAGTCTAATTTTAAATGTTGGTTTGGCAACCTTGACTTTCAAATTCAAATGTCAAACTTTTATAGGCATTGCGACGGGCGACTGCTGGTTTAGCCGTCTAATAGAAGGATTACCAATAATTCAGTGTTACCAATAGATTTTTTTGTCACAAACATTAATAGTCACCCGGTAGAACTTTGCGTGTTTGTAAAGAAGGCTTATTTGATGTAGTTTTCAATTGCTTGGTAACAATAAGTGATCAAATTAAATTATTAGATCAAAACTTTGTTTCAAATTTATTATTTTCTAAAAGAAAACGATTTTATAAATTTTTGTTTTCAACTGTAATGACTCAGTTTGTATGTTATGTAAGTAAGACGGCCATGGAATTAAACGTCACTTTTTACTTAATTACAGCAAAAAATCGGGCAGAGATTAAGGTCGCCGTACAGTTGGAGACAAAATACTTTGATCGTCAATGTCACTTGAGTAACATTAAATTGTAAAGTATGCTTTAGGACTGTTAACCTTATTTTTAACTACTGTCAATTGTAGTTGACAAGTGTATGTACAGTCGCGGCCATTTACTTTTBAATGGCCGCGACTGTACATACACTTGACAAATAAAAAAATTTGGCGTTGTCAATTTTTCCTTGAAATTGACAATTACTGTCATGTTTAAAATGTCACTAGAATCTTCTTCTTTGTTTTAATGACAGTCATTTTGTTCACATTTATTTCTCCTGCGATGACTCGTAGAGGGACATTGTCCCTTAATCTTGTAATAATAATAGATTTCTGTACATTCGACAATTTCTCAAAAGTGACGTTTTCAGTGATACTGACAATCACGACAAAGAAAAAATTACATTATGCAATTTTTAAAATTTTGAGAGGATGTGTCAAAATCCCGTGTATTACTATAATATAATATAATATAAATATAATAGTTGTTATTAATTTAAAATTGTCAATCATTTTAACGTTAAAGCTTGAATTACATTAAAGTGTCAGAAAAATGATGACCAAAGTATTTTGTCTCCAACTGTACACTTATAAATTACAGTTTCCTGTAATAGTTTAAATTTTTTTGCAATTTTAGTCGCTTCGCGCAGCAATGGGGGCAAATACGTCCCCCGCGCCATCCTCCTGGACCTGGAGCCGGGCACCATGGACGCCGTCCGCTCCGGCATCTACGGGCGCCTCTTCCGCCCCGACAACTTCGTCTTCGGGCAATCCGGGGCCGGAAACAACTGGGCCAAAGGCCACTACACCGAGGGCGCCGAGCTGGTGGACGCCGTCCTCGACGTGGTGCGCAAAGAGGCCGAGAACTGCGACTGCCTCCAGGGCTTCCAACTGACGCACTCTCTCGGCGGCGGCACCGGCTCCGGCATGGGCACCCTCCTCATCTCCAAGATCCGGGAGGAGTACCCCGACCGGATCATGAACACCTACTCGGTGATGCCCAGCCCCAAAGTCTCCGACACGGTAGTGGAGCCCTACAACGCCACCTTATCAGTCCACCAACTCGTCGAGAACACCGACGAGACTTATTGCATTGATAATGAGGCGCTTTATGATATCTGTTTCCGGACTTTGAAGGTCCCCAACCCGAGTTACAGCGACTTGAACCACTTGGTGTCTTTGACCATGTCGGGGGTCACGACTTGTCTGAGGTTCCCGGGGCAGTTAAACGCGGATTTGCGCAAATTGGCGGTGAATATGGTACCATTCCCCCGATTGCACTTCTTCATGCCGGGCTTCGCCCCCTTGACCTCCCGAGGGAGTCAGCAATACCGCGCGTTGACTGTCCCCGAGCTCACCCAGCAGATGTTCGATGCCAAGAACATGATGGCGGCGTGTGACCCCCGTCATGGGCGGTATTTGACAGTCGCTGCTGTCTTCAGGGGGCGCATGTCGATGAAAGAAGTCGATGAACAAATGCTCGCTGTTCAGAATAAAAATAGCAGTTATTTCGTCGAGTGGATCCCGAATAATGTGAAAACGGCCGTTTGTGACATCCCCCCAGTGGGGCTAAAAATGTCCTCGACCTTCATCGGGAACACCACGGCGATCCAGGAGCTCTTCAAACGCATTTCTGAACAATTCGCTGCTATGTTTAGACGCAAGGCCTTCTTGCATTGGTACACGGGAGAGGGAATGGACGAGATGGAGTTCACCGAGGCCGAATCGAACATGAACGACCTCGTCTCCGAGTACCAGCAGTACCAGGAGGCCACCGCCGACGAGGAGTACGAGGCCGAGGAAGAGGCCGCCGCTGACGACTTCAATTGTTAAATCAAATCACATTTTGCACCGGGTGACTAAATTGGGGTTTTTTTTAGTTTGGCAACCTTGATATTCAAATTACCGTGCGATCAAAAAAAAAAGAAATTAGAGTAAGCGGTGATTAAAGTCCTTCAGATGGCAATCCTGATTTTTGACATCAAATGTCAGCGGAAACTTTGACAAGTTTGCGTTTTATTCCTTTTGAGTGAAATAATTTCACTTTAGAGCAGAAAATTTTTATTGCTGTACAAGAGGAAAACAATGGATGGTTATTTTCACTTTCAGTGTGTGTGGAAAATTTACAGCCCAGATTCCCAGCCAAAGTGTTGCCAACTGTAGAATTTAATCGACGCCGACTCTAATTTATTTTATCGCACGGTACAAATTAGAGGAATTAATTCAGTGTTGCCAATAGATTTCTTTGTCACAACATAAATAGTCACCCCAACCCTCAATTGATATTTATTGTAGTAGAATTAAGACTGAATTTTCTACCCAAATCTGGCGAATYAAACAATTCAAAACTAATTTATTTATTTCCGACGTTTCCGCAACGGTTTTTTCTTATTTTTGCACAACATCCAGTATAACAACAGCTCGTCGTCATCCGACGACGACGAATCTAACAATTTCATGCAAGTTTGCACAATGCAAGCCTTCTGGAGCTCCTCATTCTCGTTACTAAAATTAGAAATAATGAAAAATTGACTCAAACCCGAAATAGTTACTTTTCAGCCTCGTCAACTTCCTGTTTGAAATGTGTCTCCACGAAATCTGGTTCTGAAGTCAAGGGGGGCGAAGTCCTACTGTCATCACTGTGAGACTCACATTCGAATTTTATGTTGAGTTCGGGCACAGGACTGGGGCTCTTATCAATTTCTCTCTTAATTTGTGGCAAAGAACCGTAATTATGGTCTTCCAAAAAACTCATTTCGAATGAGGTTAGAATTTGCGTTGAGTTGTTTACATTTAGCGCCAACTTTGTTTTAAAAACATTAGTTTATGCAACCAACAATACGGCGAAAAAAAAAACAGCTAAACAACAAATTATAAATTTAATTTGAAATTAACTTTTAATTAACTTTCTCTAAATCGGTGCTTGTCGTTTAAACTTGCTGCTAACTTTGGTAAAAAAAAAATAGTGTCTGTAAGCAACCTGTATATTTGGTCATATAACCAATTAAGTGAAAGAGTAGGCAGTCAAAAAATTGAAATAAAAAAAATAAAAAACATTGAAAATGTCTTTATAGCAATTTTCTTCCAAATTCTAATACCAAAATGATTATTTTTTTTGTGTCATAATGTTTAAATTTTGTTCTTTTAAAAAACTTAATTCAAATAAAATGACATTTACTCGTCTAAAGTTGGCGTTGATATTGTTAAAAAAATATCAGTTTATGCAACTAACACTACTATATTCTATAATTAATTTTATAAATGTCAAAAAAAATATGAATAAATTATTAAAAAATTCTTGTCTTTTCTTTGGTACCTTACAAATTTTTCTATTCCAATTTTGTCTGATTTAAAATGAGATTAAAATTTGTTTATTTTGTATTCAATGTTAAAGAGTGCTTTTATCAACCAATTTCAGCAGATAAAGTAATCTTTTATCGTCTAGTGAAATAAAGTAATTTTTATCTACTGTTTATATTCAAGAAATTCTGGTAGGTGAGTACAAAATAAAAGGAAATATTATACACGACGATAAAGATCGTGAAAAAAGTCCACTCGTGACTTCGTCACTCGTAAACTTAACCTTTTCACTCGTGGATAAACAATTTTTTTATCGTCTTGTATAAATAACTAATGTTGCATTTACTCATTTAAATTTAACGCCAACTTTATTCAAAAAACACGTAGTTTATGCAACCAACAATACCGGACTGTATATTCAGTTGCATAACTACTAAAGTCAAAAAATAGACAAACAGTCAAAAAACGCAAATTATGGATGAATTAATGAAAAAATGCAACCAGAAATCTTTGGCATACACCGTGTGTGTCTTTTCTTTGGTACGAAAACGTTACAAATGTCCCCATACCAATTTTTTTCCAGATTTTGATACCAACATTATCGGTTATTTGCGTCACAATGCCTGAAAAAGTACTATTTGAAGTGTATTATTTTGGGTCAACAACCAAAATCCAAAGAACAACCCTTTATGTCACAACAGCAAGCTTCCTTGTTATGTTTTTCACAAGTTTGTTACTTTTTTTTGGTATAAAAGAAGTCAGTCACTCTTAAAAATAACACAATGCGTGATTATTTTATTCCAGGGTAAAAGTTGCTACATTCTTGTCTGGATTTTGGTCATGATTGTATCCTGGACCACACATTTGATTATTTCACTTATTTCAGTCTCAAATTTTGTCATAGAGGGGTTGGAGGACGAATTTTGGCGAAACTATGCCTTCTTTTTTGTATTTATTGGACAAGGTTTCAAGTTTAATTATAATTTTATTTGATTAGAAAATTTATTTCAGTGTTGTGGCTTGCAAACATCGTTTTCATGTGGTCTTATTGGAAAAAAATGAAGACGAGTAATGACGTCGCAAATTTGGCGCAATATTTGGTAGAACGGGGGAAAATTCTCCTCGAGAGGAGAAGAACGCCCCCAAATGTGGAGGAACTGGCGCAAACCCAAAATAGTTTCGCTACCGAAGTGGAGGTGGCGCCACAAGAACAGATTTCTGATAGTTGAGGGTAGAGGCCGCCACGTGCACAAAATCGGTGGTTCCCCTCCCGAAAGAAAGTTTTTCAATTTTCTGTAGCTTGAAAAATAAATTACCCGCATTTGGGATGTGTCTAAGGTATCGCTTCCGCATAATACCCAAATCTCACTCTCACTTATTGTGCGTTTTTCGTCCACATTTTCCTGCGTAACTTTCATTTTTTCGGCTGACTTTCCCTCGCATTGTAGCCAACCGAAAGTTTTTTTATTTATGAGCAGTTTTATCTCCCAGACGAATTTGAATAGTGAATAACACCGACAAAGAAAGTCGATTAAGAAATAAAAAATGATATCTTGATTTTCGATAATTGCCGCATTTCCTGCGATTTCTAAATAATGCGATATGTGACATACGACATGTCGTAAACAATGATAGCTATTATCAGAGAAAGGTGTGCATTTTTCTTAATAGAGAATTAATTTGCGACAAATATAGATTCGTACGCGCCTTTATTTATATTGTGATTTGCTTTTATCAAAATTATCTAAGGAATGGCGACAGGTTAACAATATTTACTCGAAAATGATAACAATGTCTAGATTTACACGTGCCTGCTTTTCATATTAAAATCGCTAAACACTAAATTTAGAACAAAAGCTAAAAATAAAAAACGAAGAAACAAACACTTGCACAATCCAGGAGATAACCAGGAAATAAAAAAGGGATTAAAACACAACAAAACATGAGTAAACACAAAGTGGCTTTTAAAATCTTCAATTCAAAATATGTATACACGATTTTTGCTGTGGTTTCGCCAAAATCACGCACTCAAATGGGAGAGACAAAAATTTAAAGTTTGTGGTTTGTGTGACACATTTTTTATTTATTTTGTTATAAAAAATTATTTTCAACAAATAAAACTCTAGATTCACGCTTGAATGAATCAATGTTTGTACTGATAATGACATCACTTTTATTAAATGTACGGTGTGATTGGTGATTCATGACAAAAATGCCAAACACCCTGTATAAAACAATGTCAAACAACTTTTAAAACTCGATACTTTGTTGGTTCGGTACATCAAAAATCACGCTTTGCGATTGGTTCAATAGAAGCGTTGCCTGGCAACGGCTAATTCTAATCTGATTGGGCTATTTTCTGATTCATACAGGATGATTTAGAACTCGCGCCCCAAAGAAACATAGAAACAAATATTTAAAAAATTCTATCTATAAAAATTTCGAAATTACAAGGTTTAAATTTTCTGAAACACCTTGTATGTTTCTTTACCTAGCTTATTAGTGTGACATAAAAACTAAAAAAACAGTCTTGTAACAGAATTATGGCTTTATCAAACACCCTCTGTGTATTAATTTTGTGCACAGAATAAGGAAATTAATTAAATAAAATTAATTAAATCAAACTTAAAAAAAAACGAAAAAAACTCATTTTAAAGACTTAAATACAGAGTGTTAAAAAAACAAAAAAATAAATGTCTAGTAGACATGAAAACGGTTTTTATAAATTTGGATCTTTGTAATGTAATTAAAAAATTAAGCTTTTTTAGCTGAATTATCTAATTTCAAGACAAAATGACACACGTTCAGTATAGGAAAAAAAATTGTTATATCAAGATGTGTCAAATGACGGCTAAACCAGTAGTTGCCCGTCGAAACTGAATGACAGTTAACTATAAAATTTTGACATTTGATTTTGAGAGTCAAGGTTGCCAACCAAGAAATATAAAAAGCCTTCGATGTAAGTTAGGTGTAGCAGACTAAATGCGGATAACTATACAGAGTGTTCAAAAAATGCAAAAAAATAAACGTCTAGTAGATATAAAAACGATGTTTATTAATTTGAATCTTCAGTTATTAGCTACATTATACAATTTCATAAAAAGACAAAATGACAGACGTCCAGTATACATAAAAACCAATTTGTTATATCAAGACGTTTCAGGTGACGGCTAAGCCAGCAATTATCCGTGGACAACGAATGACAATTGACTATAAAATTATGACATTTGCATTTGACAGTCACTGTTGCCAAATTAAGATTTCATGGCCTACTTGTCGACAAAAATCACAATAAGATTCATTACAGTTACTCTTCATTACATTGTTGCCAATTTAATTTCAAAGTCGTAAAACAAAAAATATTTGTCAGTAATTTTGAAATCTAGACTTAGTTTTTTATTACATTTCCGTTTCTACTATTGCAAAATCGAATTTTAGTGTCATTTCGTTGATAATTGTGTGTTTTTTGAACAAGTGTATGTTATAAAAATTTCTCAGAAATAGACGTGTTGTAATTGGATCACCGTTTTACTTGATTAGTGTTGGAAAAACAAAAAGTTTTTTAAATTGCTCTATCCAAGTAGGCTTTGATTGAATTTTGCAACTACAAGTACTTAAATACAGGCTTGTAAACGTGACAAAAATTAAAAAAAACTGACTTTAAACTTATTATTTTCTTATCTAAAATATTGCTCGTCAAAAATCATAAACCAGCTTATGTTAATAAAATTTCACACGCCTTCTAGTACCAAACAGGAAACAGATAAAAGTGATTAATGTCGACACACCTCCGCTGCATTCTTGAATTTAAGAAAAATAATCATCTGTTTTTCAAAAGTCGGCCAACTGTGCGAAATAAACAAACGAATATCGCTTTTTATGTCATTTGTTATATAAGAGTGTTGCAGAAGCGACCTTAATTCCTCGTTCCACTTGGCGACAACTTCCCCTACTATCATTTTCATTGATTACAAACGACGAGTGACATAATTTTTTTTTCTCCAGGTGAAAAAAGTGAAAAATGAGATGTGCAGTTACGTGTCCTTAACCTTGCCTCACTTCCGCCTCGCCATCTGCGATTTCTGTGTCAATATGGCAATAGTAATCGTGACGTAATTAATTGGCAATAACCTTTATTAAAATCGAAACTTGGATAATTGTGCGACTTTTTGGACCAAATGCAAATGGGGGATATTAATATTCATGAATTATTAAAAATTAAACGACTTGGACGCTTCTTGTGAAGCAATTGGAAAAGTTTTCACATTAAGGATAATGTTTTTTTTCGATATCGAAATGGTAGTGCAATTACACTTTCGGTTGCATCATCTGCAAAAAGCCGATTGGTCGTTTTGTAAAACTTTAATAATTATGATATTGAGTTTGTTTTATTTTCTGCAATTGTTTTGACATTTATTAATAATAAATTACACATCTTGTTTGTTCCTTGCGCCGATAACTGCGGGCCTGGTAACACAAAATCAACAAAATCGATAAATTATTAAAAATAAATCTTGAAATGATTTTTTTTTAATAAAAATCGCGCTTTTTTATTAATCTACAAAAGGAAGTGAGAAATGATTTTAACGCTCTCAATAAATCATTAGCAATTCATTAAGTATTCATTGAAATCAGCTAAGTGCTGTAATGTATTCCATTTACATTTTACACTAAAACGTTAGTGTTCTAATCGCTGAAAGCAATTTTCAGCATTGAATTCTCTTTTTGTTTTAGAAAGGACTCAAATTGTGTAAATTTTTACAGAGGTCAGTTCCAATTATCCATGTGAAAAATTTATTTCGAAAAATAATCGAATTTTGGCCGGTTTTCGAAATATGAGAAAATTCTCAAGTACTTACTTCAATTATTATTTAAAATGGAGAAAAATTCTTGTGTAATTAATTTTATAAGATTGCATAATTAAACATGAGAGAAAAATACTATTATTTTATTTTATAAGTGTTACTAAAGCACTATAAAACATAATACCCTAAAACTTTCTATAAAGCACTATAAAACATAATACCCTAAAACTTTCAGTTTCGTAATGTTTTAAATCAATATTATATAGGGTGCGCCAGAACTCCAGCCTAAGAGAAAAAAGCTATGTAAAGTAAGATACTAGGAACATGTAAAAACTATTTAAAAAATTCTGTCTAAAAAAATTTCGAAATTTCATAAATTTTGCACTTTCATTCTATTTATTTTTGTTGGAAAAAGGCTATTAAAAGAGGAAACAAGGAAGCTGCATCCTAAATTGTAACTTTGTTTAATGTGATTTGTGGCTATTATTGGCAATATTTTTGTACCTCTACTAAATAATTAAAAAAAAAAACACTAATCAAGTAAAATGGTGACTCAATTACAACACGTCTATTTCTGAGAAATTTTTATAACATACACTTGTTCAAAAAACACAAAATTATCAACGAAGTGCCACTAAAATTCGATTTTGCGATAGTAGAAACGGAAATGAAATAAAAAACTAAGTCTAGATTTCAAAATTACTGACAAATATTTTTTGTTTTACGTTCAAAGTGGTCCCTGACTTTGAAATTAAGTTGGCAACAATGTAATGAAGAGTAAGTGTAATGAATCTTATTGTGATTTTGGCGACAAGTAGGCCATGAAATCTTAATTTGGCAACAGTGACTGTCAAATGCAAGTGTCATAATTTTATAGTCAATTGTCATTCATTTCCGACGGGCAATTGTTGGCTTAGCCGTCACCTGAAACGACTTGATATAACAAATTGGTTTTTGTGTATACTGGACGTCTGTCATTTTGTCTTTTCATGAAATTGGATAATGTAGCTAAAAAACTGAGGATCTAAATTAATAAACACCGTTTTTATGTCTATTAGACGTTTATTTTCGCATTTTTGTGAACACCCTGTATTTATGTCTCTAAAATTAGTTTTTTTCGAACTCAATAAAATATCTAGTACATACACAAAATAACTATTTTTTATTTTTTAACACTATTATCTATGTTTACTACTATGTTTTTGGGAGCTTTAACGAAAAAATGTTGGTTGTAACATGTACCTGAAAAGTTTTTGTGAACTCGCCTCGGCTTTGCCTCGTCCGCCAAAAAAAATAACTATACCGAGTGCGCCAGAACTCGCGCTCCAGAGAAAAATGTTATGTAAGGTAAGATACCAGGAACATGAGAAAAATGTTAAAAAAATTCTATCTATAAAAATTTCGAAGTTATGAGATCCTAAATT